TCCCCATAAATTTTTTGAAGGCTTCCTCTTCCCCCTTCCCTGTATCCATCTATCTATCCTGAAGGGACTGCAAGAGTAAATGGTGTAGTCTGTGACAAGACAGGGGAAGAACTAGCCTACAGCACAAGTTGGAAGAAGGAAGTAGCCATTGGTGGAAACATAGGCTAAGGAATATCCCACACAAAGGATCTCCAAAAAAATTCAGGGAAAATGTATTATGGAAAATCTATATTTAAAAAAAAAGAGCAGAACTTTGGAGCTGTAGGATGACAACAGCAAGGGGAATGGGGAGAAAGGTTGTGATCTAAAGGAGTGACATGCTGTGAGGAAGCAGGAACAGAGAGCCTCGCACCCTGGAGGCTGTGAGGTCGGTGTGGTGATGCAGGGGATGTTGGGTAGGAGCTTGGTAAGCGTAGGTAATTGAGGTGGATGACCTAAGTTTAATCTTTTCCTCTTACTAGGAGATGCTTTCTATGCTTGGAGACCAGAGCAACAGCTACAACAATGAAGAATTTCCTGACCTAACTATGTTTCCTTCGTTTTCAGAATAGAACTGTTGGGGTGAGGATAAGGGGTGGGGGAGAAAAAAATTACTTTGTTTTGAAAAAGCAAATCTTTCTGTAAACAGAATAAAAAGTCCTCTCCCTTCCCTTCCCTCACCCCTGACATGTAGCCCCTTTTCCTTTGAGACTCTCCCCTGCCCTCCTGCCTCTGCAACCTAACATTTTTTGAAGGAATGGAATGGGTTTCCAAGGATGTTAGGGCCCTTTGAACATTTGAGGCTAGATGAGAATAGAATGCCTGTCTGTATTTCTCCTGGCTAGACGTTGTACGCTTTCAATCTGAGGTAGTGTCAAGGGGCTGGCCAGAAGAACCAGAGCTCCGCTATTTTCCTTGGATACTGTGGTTTGCTTTTGGAAAGAAATTCTAAATGGAATGAAGGAAAGGAGAGAAAAATAGTCCTCATATTTGAGGATCACAAAACATGGTAGGTATGTATGAGGCTTTAGGAAGTGAGCATAGGCTCTTTATGTTGCCTGTGAGCAATTCCCTTGGGGAAAAAAAAAACATGTGAGTGAGAGAGAGAGAGAGAGAGAGAGAGAGTGTGTGTGTGTGTTTTTCTGTGCTTGTTTCTCCCTATTAGGGAGTTATGCAAAAACTTATCCGAAATTTTATCTTTATCTTTCTGTGTGCTTTTCAAAGAGTCCTAAGAAGTTAAATCTTCCAGGTATTTTCCACTTAGTATTGCAGCCAGAGTATTTAAATAAATGTCCTTGCTGCACTGTGTCTATGCCCAGCTGATATGCAACTTCAGGCAAATACATCAAGTCTTCTGTTGTTATGGTTGGTCTCTTATCAAACATATTCAGTGATAAAGCTAGATTACTCCCATATTTGGTGCTCTCAGCTTTTTTGGAAGATCTACAATCATAATCAAAGTAGGCTGGCAAGATAAACACTTTCAGAACCCCCGGACTTGGCCATAAGGATAATAATGCTGCATTTTTTTCAGAATCACACCTTATGTATGTATGTGTGTGTTATATAGAGGTTATTTCTGCATGGAAACTCAACTTCTTGGATTTAGCAGATCTAGTGAAAATCTTCATTGTTGGAGTATAAGCCAAATACAGATTCTCTTGCAATGTAGCCTCTTTGATCATCTTAACTTCAAGATACCCAGGCTATCAAGAAGCATTTGGGTCTCTCCTGGGCTGGTAGTTCTTTTCTCTTTGTTCCTCCTCCAGTCTGGAGATTGGATTTTGCTTTAGATTGCAAGTATAATTTCCTATGATGGATGGGGCCTGGACTCCCATCCCAACAGGGTTACTTGGTAATGAACTATAGCCAAATAAACGCAGATACAAGTTTCTGCTCTCACCTTTTACCTTCCTCAGGTTAGTTCTATATGTCAGCCATTTTGTTTTAATTGGCTCCGGCCAATATCTAAGTGCAAGGCTGAATTAATAAGCAGAAGGCATATTAAACCTAGTCATCAGGGACTGCAGATCACCAATGGCCTTGGAGAGACTGAGGGAATGTCGTTTGCTGGGTTTCCCTCCCTTTTGTCTCCGTTCCAGTGCCAGGTAGTGAAGTGGAAAGGAGACAGTTTATTTTTGTATTCTTTGTGCACACATACAGTATACATATATATTTATATCACAGTTTATGAAACCAAAAAGTTGAGTTTCCAATGGAATCCTTGTTTTTTTAATAATCAACTGTTTTTAAATGTGATCAGGACTATAATATTGTACAGTTATTATAGGGTTTGGGGGAGCGGGGAGGGTGGGAGAAGATGCTCTGGGGGGTTTGTTTCTGCCTTTCCTTCAGGGTTTTATTTTTGATTTTTTTTTTTTTCTTGTTGGCCATTTCTGTTTTGCTGGCATCTGTGCTGAGCCTTACAGTGGCAAAAATAATGACATGTAGCAAAGATTTTAAAACAAAATATTTTTTCCTTTTGTAAAATTTGTGTTGTGTGAACTTGATTGCGACTCTTCCTTTCCAGTTCTTACAAAGCATTCACAAGTAGAGGAAACCATAGGTTGATCTCCAAACAGGCATAAACCACATTTGTGATTTTTAATTGTAGGAATCAGAAATCAGAGTTCTAATCACTCCCCCTCACTTGTCCTCCTGATCCTGACGCATTCTGAGTAAACATCCTGATCACAAGGTTGCGGGTGGGGGCTGCCCAAGTTCACGAAGGGGGAGGGTAGAGTTGGAACTTGAAGGCCCTGGGATACATGATGGATGCCTTTCCTTGCTTAAATCCTGTTCTGGAGTTAAAGATGGGAAAGTTTGTCCAGTCCTAGAACTGGTTTTCCTTTAAGGACCAAATGGTTATTAGCGACTGAAGGTCCAGAGATCTAATCCTGTCTTCTTTAAGGCTCTGCGAGTTGAATCCAGTTAGAAACTGAAACCCAAATCCCAGATATAATTAGCTTTCTATCCCAGTGACCTTCTTTCCCTCTTTCTGCATATCTGTTTATGGAGGAAAAGGGAGTGTAGGGATGTGATTTGATGACTGAACAGATTCTTATGATCTGTCACATGCTGTATGTTAGGAAATTATTTGGAGACACTCATGTGACTGGACGTAGACGGGGGATTTTAACAGTTGAGGCATAATGCTCATCAGGCATCCCGACATCTGAGCGTGTTAGCAGCAGAGTCACATGTGGATCCATCAGAACCCAGGGCTCTGACTGCAGTGCTGGCACAAGCCAGGAATGTTGGTTTTGATTACTTTTAGGACCAGTTTCATCTGGACTTTCTGGGCATGCACGCAGTCAGCAATACCAGTTCCCTTTCTGGAAGTGATGACAAATTTACAGCAGCTTCACAAACTATAATTTTAGAAGCTATGATTTCCTTTATATTACTCTTTTTTAGCCTTTTGTGTTTAATTCCTTTATCCCAGAGGTGAGAGAATCAAATGTTATGGAGGTGGATCATAACAGGAAAAGAGTAGGAAAAGATTGTAACCCCTCAATATTATAATGAAGGATATTAAAGAAGAAGGATGGGAGAGAACAAGAGTGCGTCCTTCAGTGTTCTTAAGTCCTTCCATTTCTCTGTCACACATGAAGGTAAGTTCCAACTCGCTAATGTGTGTTGTGGTCTTTTTTGTTCCTCTAAAGACAGTCATGTGAAACCAAATACTCTCCAACCTGACACATAAAGCTGCACACACACACAGGCACTGCGCAAACCCACTGCCTCCTTCCTTCCTGACACTCCTCAGCGCTCCTATCCCCGCCTCTCGACCTTATCCAAATTTTCCAGCCAACTGCTGGAACTGACTTCCGCAATCTTGATGGAATAAATCTAGCACCCCAGTCATCCGCCCACATTCAGCACACTCCTAGCTGAAAGGAGCCACATTGATTTCCTTCAGAAGGTAAGATTTTTCAACTTCCTCAATGATTTAGCTCCTTTGTCTTGCTAATTCTTGATTTTGGGAGTATTAAAAAATTTAATGCTGGGGAATTGGAGTAAGTGTTGTAGGCTGTGCAGGTGAAAACAGATGCCTTTATCTTCCTGTCTTCCTCTGCGTATATCTGACTTTTCAATAACAGTAAATAAATCTGGAAAAAAAAAAAGATTTATGAAACAAATGCCTTTCTTGGATTATTTCCTAGCCAGATGTGCCTAGAATCTTAAGATTTTGTGTGATTTTGTCTACATGAGCATGATTGAAAGTACAGAGTCCTTTGCCTGCCCTCAGTAGTAGCACCTCCGGCAGTTTTCTGCTTTTGCCCGACGGAGTAAGAGAGTTGGTTCAGGAGGTGGGGGAGAGGAGGAGTGTCTGGGGTGCTAACTTGTGCTCGCCACTCAGAAATCTCCCAAGTTCTGCCATTATCCTGCAAAGTCTGCAAAGATTACGTAAAAAGAACTATAAATTCAGAATTGGGCAAGTCCTGGGACTTGCTGCTGACTGCACCCTGTTAAAATGGAAGACTTACAATGAAGCAGTCCAGGGCAAGAAATGAGTCAACTTCTGAGAAGCTGTGAATTTATTCATGGAGCATTGCTTTTCACTCGACAGACTCAACAAACCTTGATTCAGACATCTTATAGGAGGCAGCCACAGAGGGCTTCTTTTTTTTATTTTTTCTTCTTCTTCTTCTTCTTTTTTTTGTCATTGCTGGAAAAAGAAACAAAACTTCTCTACCCGCAGCATCTGGTTGAAATTAGGACAGTTTCCTGCCTAAGGCAGGCGGAGACGAGAAAGGAGGAAGAAGAGAAGTTAGAGTGAGGAGACAGTGAAGACAGATAATGGGAAATACAAGGGACTTTAAAAAGTTCAAGGAGACATGGAATTAAAATGTCTATTTTAATGTAACTGAAGGACCACACATGATTTATTTCACCATTCATGTTTTTGGGAACTTGGTGAAAATTTCTTGTACGGTTCATTTTACCTCTCCTGGCAAGGGCTAGAAAAAAATATCAGAATTAAGCAAAAAGGAAAAGAATGCCTTGAAGAATTAATCAGGAAGCAAAACAGCTGGAAGTGTCTCCTTTGCGTGTTCTCTAACCCCACCCCCCACCTTGTCCATGCCCACGCCTGCCAAGGACCCTAGAGGACACAGGTGATTATTGCAGATTGTGCAAATGTGTGTCTGAGTGCTGGTTGCACTTACCCATCGTCAAAATACTTGGAACCCACTGTGCCAATATTCCAAACAGGGCTAGTGCTTTCCTGTTACTGTTTGTTCTCACAAGTGAAATTCACCCTCCATTTGCTGCTTTTCTCCCAAAGCCAAGTGTCCCTCTGCTTCATGGTGCAGAGGAAAGGGTTCTTTGGGTTCACATATCCTCCAAAACTACTGTGTGGTGCATGGATTTTCCTTTTAAGGGAGATGAATATAAGTTTCTCAAAGAAGGCTGTGACTCATGAAAGGCTAAGAGTCACTTTTCTGGAAATACTGCCTCAGATGTTTCCTGATCCTTAGCAAGGTCGTGCAATCCAAGACTCTCTCCTAATTCTCCCCTTTTCAGGATGTGGGGTCTCAGGATTCTGCTGCTACCCCTTGTGAGTTTTGCTCTACATCCTGAGGAGCTACTGGATACGCAGTGGGAGCTATGGAAGAAGACCCACAGCAAACAGTATAACAGCAAGGTGCCTGGGGACCCAAAGGGAAGCATGACAGGATGGCTGGGGCCTGAGATCCCAAGTCTTAGCTTCCAAACTCCCTTCTCTAAGACGAAGAAAGTACTTCAGCTAAGCAAACCCACCCCTGTTCCCTATCAGCGTAACGTAGGGTTTTCATTGCTGTGCCTCAGCTAACCACTAGCCAGGCCCTGTTCTTCCTTGGCTTGTTAGCTGTCCTGTATTTCTCTTTGAGGAAGGCTTCTCAAGAGTGCTTTTAATGTATAGGCAATTTTTCTGTGTCTTCCCAGATCTTTATGTTGAACTATTTGTGTCTCTCTGCATGATTTTAATAATCCAAAGTTAGCTTTCCAACTTGATTGTAAAATCTTTATAATTCTGAGTTTTATGTCTAAAAGCCTCCATAGTAGTATTATATACATCATTTTGCACACAGTCTGTGCAAGTACTAACTATACTCTGTTTAGGCGGATGAAATCTCTCGACGCTTAATTTGGGAAAAAAACCTAAAGCATATTTCCATCCATAACCTTGAAGCCTCTCTGGGTATGCATACATACGAACTGGCCATGAACCACTTGGGGGACATGGTGAGTGCATCTGTGACTCCTTACGTAAGTGTCGTTTTGGACCATAGTTCCCCAAGGATAACTTGGCTGATTCTTTCTCAGACCAGCGAAGAAGTGGTTCAGAAGATGACTGGGTTCAAAGCACCCCCCTCTCGTTTGCGCAGTAATGACACCCTTTACATCCCTGACTGGGAAGGTAGAGCCCCAGACTCCGTGGACTATCGGAAGAAGGGATACGTCACTCCTGTCAAAAACCAGGTACACTCTCGGTGTGAGCATCAAATGTAGTATGGCTTCTTCCTTTTTCTGCCTCTTTGTTCTTAAGCCGGGAAGTTACCCGGCATAGGGGTGCAAGGGATGGCAGTGTGTCTGTCTCCTGATGCTGAAAGAATATAAAATCTTCCATTATCCATCTCTTGTTTTTATGCATTTGACTTGTTTCTCATTTTTCCTTATTACAAATATTGTTGCAATAAATACTTTGGTGTACACATTTTTGTGCGCTGTGCAAATATTTAAGCAAAACAAATCCTGCAGTTAGAATTGATATGTCACATATCCTTTCCAAAAATGCTTTTACAATCTTACATTCTTAACCCCTGTAAAAATGCTAGTTTTCCCACAGTCCTCTCCCGACCCTGCTCTGACTCTGCCCCTCCCTCTGCACCCTGCCATTACAGTGCTGATAGCGATTCAAGATGGCTTAAACATAACCCCTGTTGTGGTGATCTTACACAATAGAAAGCATAGGAAAGATAAACAAAATCTACAATCTATCCACCTAAGCATAATAATAGTACTTTTTGGAGAGGATATTATATGTTACGAATTTATAAGTTCTTTGTATAAATTAAATATTTACTTTTCATAGCAACCCCATTAAAATGTATCCTATTACGGAAAAGGAAACAGAAGGAAATTTTAGTAGTTTGTTCAATGTCACATAACTAATGGGTTAGATAACCCAGCTGAATTGCTGCCCAAGTGACTTTTGGCTCAACTCTGCTTTACTGAGGCTGCTGGTACCAATGGCGGTAACCGTTAGCCATCACAGGGATAGCAACAGAACCATGCAAGCCCCAAGTGTTCAATGAAAGGGAGCTGGGAGGTTTCACAACACAGGTGACGCTTGTGCTAGAATTTATCAGCTGTGTTGGATTTCCTGTAGAGAATATGACCAGTAATGACCCACAATGCTTTCTGTGTGCCTCTCAGGGCCAGTGCGGTTCCTGTTGGGCTTTTAGCTCTGTGGGTGCCCTGGAGGGCCAGCTCAAGAAGAAAACTGGCAAACTCTTAAATCTGAGTCCCCAGAACCTGGTGGACTGTGTGTCTGAGAATGACGGCTGTGGAGGAGGCTACATGACCAACGCCTTCCAGTATGTGCAGAGGAACCGGGGCATTGACTCAGAAGATGCCTACCCGTACGTGGGACAGGTGAGACCACCCCACGCAGGGCTGCAGCTCAGGAGCACACCTTCTTCCCTACCTTCATGTTTGGTGCTGAAACAGTTCCAGAATCCTTGTTTTCTATTACCCTAGCCTGCCCTCTTGATTGGCTGACCTACATCATCTGAGGGAATTGGAAGAGTTAGGCTACCATGATTCCTGTTCCCCTCTCTGCCTTAGAATGAAGTGTTTGCAAGTCTGTATACTCTTCCACCAAACGCTCCACTCCTTTAGCAAACCTTCAGACCCATCACACTATTTTTTTGAATCATGAGGCTCTAATTTAAGTGGTCTCAGTGTGGGTTTGTGCAACATTTAAGCAATAGGGAAGATAACATCCTAACATGTATGAAACAACAAAAATATACTACCTCATATTGTAATTTTAGAGATAAAAGATTAACCCACTTCCTCCTTTTTTTAAAGCCCATTTGATCCCCCCCTTTTTTAGATTTATTTATTTATTTGAACATTTGAGAGAGAGAGAGAGAGAGATAAAAGAGAGAGAGAGAGCTCATCTGTATAGCAATTCACTTCACAAATGGCCATTATTGCTGGCCAAGGGTGAGCCAGACCAAAGCCAGGAGCCAGGAGCTTCTTCCAGGACTCCCATGTGGGTGCAGGGGCCTAAGGCTTTGAGCCATCCTCTGCTGGTCTCCCAGGCCATTAGCAGGGAGCTGAATTGGAAGTGGAGCCATTGGGACTTGATGCCATATCAATGCCAATATCACAGCTGCTATGCCACAACTCTGGGCTTCCTCCATGATCTTTTAATAACAAGAAGCAGATCTTCGTCCTCTCAAAAGGAAATAATCTGAAATTTTAAAAAATATATTGTGCATTTTGTATGCCTACACTGAGATTGAGTGAATATATGATGTTTGTAACAGGAGCTGTTGGAACAGGGATAGCAAGTTTGAGTAATAAAAGTAATCATCCCTGTCACTGGCTTAAAGCCAGGGGGCCAGGAGCTCTGTACTGGTCTCTCTTAGGCTGGCATGGGCACACGCACTTGAGTCATCTTTGGTTGCTTTCCTGGGTGCATAGCAGGGAGCTGGATGGGAAGCAGAGCAGCTGGGACTCAAATCAGCATCCAGTTAGTTAGATCAGGAAGGGATCAAAAATGGAGCAGTCATGACCCTGCTATGATGTGCTGGTGACAGGACAGCTCAACCCACTGTGGCACAAAGTTATCCCCAGAAGAAATGTCCTATCTCTGTCTTTCTGTCTCTGTCTGTTTAGGGATGTAAAGGGTAAGAGCTTGTGAACACTCTGGTTTATTGATTTACTGCTCAGATGCCCACATGGCTGGGACTTTCCAAGGCATAATGGGTAAAGCTGCCTGCAGCATAGGCATCCCATATGGGGACCAGTTCGAGTCCCAGCTGCTCTACTTCTGACCCAGCTCCCTGCTTACAGCCTGAGAAAACAGCAGATGGCTGAGGTCTTTGGGTCCCTGCTCCTACATAGGAGACCTGGAAGAAGCTCCTGGCTTTGAATCAGCTCAACTGGCTGTTGGAGCTATCTAGAGAGTGAACCAGCAGATGGAAGTTCTTTTTCTCTCTCTTCTCTTGTAATCTGCTCTCAAATAAAAAATGAATGAATCTTTAAAAACAAAACAAAAATAGCTCTTGAGAAATCGTTAAGTCAATAGAAAAACATAATTTTATGGACCCAGCACAATGGTTAGTTTTAAATCCTCACCTTGTAAGTGCCGGGATCTCATGCGTGCTGGTTCATGTCCCAACTGCTCTGCTTCCCACCCAACTCTCTGCTTGTGGCCTGAGAAGGCAGTAGAGGACAGCCCAAAGCGTTGCGACCCTGCAATGGCATGGGAAACCTGGAAGAAGCTCCTGGCTTTGGATCAGCTCAGCTTCAGAGGTCACTTGGAGAGTAAACTAGCAGATGAACAGTCTGTCTCTCTTTCTATCTGTAAATCTGTCTTTCCAATAAAAATAAACAAATCTTTTTTTTTAAACTGTTATCTTAGATTATTATGCCAAGTGCTGTCCTTACCGCTTATATTTAATAATGCATTCTGGGCTGGGCACGGTGGCCTAGTGGCTGAGATCCCATAGGGATAGCAGTTCTAATCCCAGCAGCCCGCTTCCCATCCAGCTCCCTGCTTGTGGCCTGGGAAAGCAGTTGAGGATGGCCCAGAGCCTTAGGACACTGCAGCCACATGGGAGAATTGAAAGAGCTCCTGACTCCTGGCTTTGGATCGGCGCAGCTCCAACCATTGTGTTCACTTGGGGAGTGAGCCATCAGATGGGGGGTTTTCCTCTTTTGTCTCTCCTCTCTCTCTCTATATATATATCTGGCTTTGCAGTGAAAATAAATCTTTAAAAGCAAAACAAAACAAAACAAATCTTTAAAAAAATGTATTCTTGTTGATATGATTTTAGGGTTTTTGAAGTAGTAATCTGTAGGAAAATGAATGCCAAAAAAAAGTGTACCAACCTGGTAGAAACTGACATTAGCTTCTGTAACTGCAGTTTGCCAGTGACACACATTGTTAACCAGATCTACTAAACTTAGTGTTGGGGGTGGGGGAGTTCACAGGCCAAATGGTTAGTTATAAGTGTGTTTTTGTGTCTTGTTATATGATTTTTTATTTACCTAGGTTGAGAGCACAGTGTCTGACCAGAACTGCACCCTCTCCAAGGAACTTTGCTTTGCTCGGTACCAGTGGCTTAGGACTTCCTCCTCGCCCTAGCCTTGTCTTGGCTTCCATGTGCAGCACTTGCTGTTTCTGTGTGCACAGAGGCACACATGCAGCAGCTCATGGCCAGAAGATGGTTTGGGCACTTTGAAAAATGTGATTCAGAGTTCTTTTTGTACTCTGAGGAAATACAGCTGCTTTCTCTTTTGAAAGCCATACAGCTTGTCTTCTTTGATACATGTCTGTAAGCCACTTGCAGTGAGGAGGACCAGCTCCCTCTAGGCTCCAGCTTGCTGCTACTGCCATTTGTTCAATATTACTCCAAACATTGGTTGGACTTCTCACTAATGAACTCGCTGCCTGTGGCTTTGTCCCCTAGTCCTTTTGCAACCCGTTTCTTCCAGGATGAAAGTTGTATGTACAATCCAACTGGCAAGGCAGCTAAGTGCAGAGGGTACCGGGAGATCCCTGAGGGAAACGAGAAAGCCCTAAAAAGGGCAGTGGCTCGAGTGGGACCCATTTCTGTGGCCATTGACGCAAGCCTGACCTCTTTCCAGTTTTACAGTAAAGGTAAGAAGTTGTTTCTAGAGATCCCTGTCTTAGGTGATGTGGGCTTGGTGACTTCTCCAAGGGCCTGAACCTTTTCAGTGGTCTGTTTTCATATTCACACTGGATCTGCCAGGAAGAAGTCCACAGCTGCCATGCGGCAGGGCATCTCTGTCGTAGACCCTCCTGACTGAGAGATGCCTGCTGGGCAGCCGCGACATGGCAGGTTCATCTTCACTGTCTGTGTCCTAGGTGTGTACTATGATGAAAACTGCAATAGTGATAACATTAACCACGCGGTTCTGGCAGTGGGATATGGCATCCAGAAGGGAACCAAGCACTGGATAATCAAAAACAGGTAATGATGGGACTGCACATTGTATGACTCACATCACATTCAGGCTTACCTCCAGCTTCCTGGTATTCCTTTCTGTGTCATAGGCATCCCAGTGAGAAGCTCCTGATTGTGAAGCTGACATTTAGGGTCAGACTCTGTGACTGTGTCAGGCACCTGCAGCATGTGCAGGGTGCTTAGTTCCTTACAGGACTAGAGGAGCAGGGGTCTGCCTTCCGTGACCTCACAACCCACCGAGAATGAGTTAAGCAGCTATGGCATCCTTTTGCTCAGAGAACCAGTGGGGAATTTGGAGTGTTAGTAACTGGAGAATTTGCTGTTTGAGGAAAAAGGACCAAAAGGTGATGTAAACAATGTAGGAAGATAAATGAGGGGACTCCAGAAACTTCATGAAAAGATGGAAAAACTTCATGGAAAAATGTTTATTTCCTTGTAAACATTTTTTTGAAATCCATAGCATAACTTTCTCAGTTTCTTTCATAACACTTCTTCATGAGCTTTTAAAATACTCTGCCTGTAGACCACTCCTTTCTTCAGCTCCCATCTTGCAGTCTGTTCACACATTTCCCTGGTAGTCTCATCCACTCTCAGTGTTTCTTCTGTCTCTCTGAGGGGTTTACTGCCCAATCAGGAACATCAGCTTCAGCCTCTACTGCCTTATTGTTCTGTGCAATCTAAAGTTAATTTTCTCAAACTACAGCTCTGCTCGTATCATTCTTTTACCCCAAAAAACTTTCACTGACTCTTCCACCACAATTGAGCCACAAAGTAAAACATGAACTCTGACTTTGTACTGAGGATAATAGAACCTTATGACGTTCTACCTTCCCAGACGCATCTGCTGCCGTACCTGTCAGGCAACCTCCTTTTTGGATAGGATCGCATGGCCCGTGCCTTCCTGCTCTTACTTTTCATTTCTATCCCTTTTCCACAGATCCAAATTCTCCCCCGCCCTTGGGCTGAGCTCACATGTTCTTTCCTCTTCCATCAAACAGTCTTTCCCACTTTTGAGACTTGTGGCATCATGTCTTCTCTCTGTTTCTTGATGTTGAACTCTTTAACGGTAAAAACCGTCTTACTCATTTTTGCAGACCATCGGTGTGTAACATACGCTCAGTGTTTTAATGAATAACTAAATGGAGGGGACTAAGGATTTCTCTTGATTGGTCTTACAGCTGGGGAGAAAGCTGGGGAAACAAAGGCTATATCCTCATGGCTCGGAATAAGAACAACGCCTGTGGCATTGCCAGCCTGGCCAGCTTCCCTAAGATGTGATTCCAGCCAGCCATGCCCATCCTGCTCGCCAACGGCTCAGCAAGGTGGCTTCGTGATGCTCCCTCACGAGGAGCTGCCAGGCCATTCTTGAAGTAGAAATGATGTTACCGATCGCTCACTCTCCTCATTTGTTTGTGCATGAAGTGAGACTCCTGTCGGTCTCCTTCTCTGCACTCACAGCTTTTTTCTTTGTGGCTTCGGCAGGAATTTCCCTAACAAGTGTGGGCTCTTCGGTTTAAGAGAGGTGCCCACATGCTGACCCGTGTTATCTTGAGGCTGATGTGCAAATAGAAGCTAGAGATCCCCAAGTCGGCTGTGCTCTCAGTCCCTGGGCCTGGTGGGCCTTCGCCACTGCCAGCCACACACTGACTTGACCTCAGCGTTTTGAGTTTCCTTCTTTTTAACGTAAAGTTAGAAATCTGTATTTTCCACTCTGATTCACAAATTTATTCGTAAGTCTCTAAGTTTACAAGGTGTAAAAATAAAAAATGTGTGTTCTTTTTCCTTTGTTGCATTTTTGAAATAAACTATTTATCTCTTGTCTACAATTTATTAAGTAGCATACATGTTCATTTTGTGTTGGACACTGTGCTGGTCACTGTGCAGAAAGATGAATAAACTTTGTTCTCGGTACTTGATGTGCTAGTCTTCTGCTTGGAGAAACATAAAAATAATAAATCTTTGGGAAAAAAAACTGTATGATCAGGTGGCCCATTAAAGAGTTCGAGGCCTACAGAGTGGAGCTGAGAAGAGCAGGTTGGAAGTGAATCTTAATGGGCCTTGATTGCCCAGTATATCCCAAGAAATTCATCCTGTACTTTAAAGACATACAAGTATTTAATAGGTATCAGATATTTTCTACCAGAAAGAAGGCATATTCAGATCTGTATTTTAGCAATACTCCTCTAGTGGTGGAATAAAGAATGAACAAAAAAAGTCAAAAACAAAATGAAGACATAAGAGATTGGAGTGAAACAACATCTAGGAAGCATTGCACACACCCTCTTGGCTCTCAATCACCAGAATTTACTTAAAGCTTGGATTCGGTGAGTTTGGCAAATGAAGAAGGTAGGAAATGGTATTCCAGTACAACAAATAGTGTACTCACATGTGCAGGCACGCAAAAGTATGTGCATTCAGTAATCACACATTTAACATTTTTATGTATTTGAGAGAGAAAGACAGAGCACAGAGAGTTCCACCTGCTCATGGACTCCATAAATGGTCATGTTGGTTGGGTCACGGTCAAGAGCCAGCGACTTAATCGAGGTCTCCCTAGTGGGCAACAAAAGCCAAACCACATGAGCGTGAGCTGTCACTGCTGCTTGCAGAGTCCGGATTAGCAGGAAAGTGGACTCGAGCCCCAGGCGAGAATGGGTCCCAGGCATTTCACTGGTTCGCAGGATCTTACCCACTAGGCCAAACACCTGCTCCTACAGCAGGCAAATCTACAAGGAGTTCTGTTACTTTGATAGGGACTTTTTCCCTTCTGCCTAGAAGGATTTATTTTTGTTTGTATATGACAGCAACAGATTGACCCTATTCCTAAATGTATTTTGGATTTATTTCTCGGTTTATGATTCTAGTCCATCAATATGTACTTGACTAGTATCACATATAATTAGTGGAGCTTCATGAAGTTTTTTTTTTTTTTTTTTTTTTTGCTTTCCCTATAGTCCAGTTTTTTGTTATTTTTAAAAGATGGATTTATTTTTATTGCCAAGTCAGATACACAGAGAGGAGGAGAGACAGAGAGGAAGATCTTCCATCTGATGATTCACTCCCCAACTGGCTGCAACAGCTGAAGCTGCGCCAATCCAAAACCAGGAGCCAGGAGCTTCTTCCAGGTGTCTCACACGGGTTCAGGGTCCCAAGGCTTTGGGCCATCCTCAACTGCTTTCCCAGGCCACAAGCAGGGAGCTGGATGGGAAGTGGGGCTGCCAGAACATGAACCAGTGTCATATGGTATCCTGGTGTGTACAAGGCGAGGACTTTAGCCACTAGGCTACTACATCAGGCCCTCCTTTCCAGTTTTTGCTTCAATTTCTATCTCACCCATCTATTTTTCTTATTGTTTTACTTATTTGAAAATCAGAGCTACAGAGAAGTAGACAGAAAAAGATCTTCCATCTGATAGCTGCTGTTGTTAGAATTGAGCCAGGCTGAAGCCAAGAGCTCATTTGGGTCTCCCACACGCGTGGCATGGGCCCAAGTACCTGGACCATCTTCCACTGCCTTACTGGGCCCCAGCAAGGAAAATGCGGCCACAGGGAGTTGAACTGGTCCCCATCCCGGATGCAGGATCACCAGCAGTGGCTTGACTTGCTACGGTACAGCAGTTGCCCTGATTCTTGTCTATTTGTGTTAGTTAAGTCTTCCAAAACGATCCTGACGAAGACACTTGATTATTTTCATAGAGGGATTCAATTCTGTATGAACATGTAATTGATTTATCTAGTCCCCAATCAATGTACATGCTGTTTTCAGTGTTTTTTTTGTTTCCACAAGTCATAGTGTAGTTAGTGATGGGCATTTTGACATACATAGAAAAGATTTCAGTGATTTTACAATAAACGGTTTTAAGTCTCTTTGTAATAGCAAAATTGGCTTGCATGTTGAGTTTGCTAGGCAGCTTGCACTGTGTTAGTGCTATTCATTCTAGACCCTAGGATCCCCGCTTGAAAGCTTCCCCTTTCTACTACTAGCTCGTGGCTGAGCCATCACTCCTACCTGTTCATGTGCGTCTAAATAGCATGTTGAGCTTTCTTGGAGACTATTTCACACGCATCAGACAGAGAGGAATACTATGGAGCCACTGTCCTCATCCTCCCACAGCACCTGCTAACTTTGGCTAGTATTTTTTTCATGTATTCTGCTTCTACTTTTTTTAAAAAAAAAAGTACTTTAAAGCAAATCTCAGGTATTATTCTTAAGTACTTCATTATACATATTGTTAGCTGAATGAACTTTTATCTAAGTACAGTGTTCTTCGCACATGTAACAATCAACAGCTGTTTCTCAATATCATTTAGTATATAACCTGCTTCTCCAGTTGTTTAAAGTTGGCTTTTTCACTGTTAACTCAAACCGGAACCCAGTTGTACACGTTGCGTTTGGCTGTTGTTTAGCAGTAGCTTCCTTTGAACACCCTGCCCCCTGTCACTAACTGTGGATTCACTGGACTTTGTGTCCAGCAGCACGGCCACACTCTGGGATTGGCTCATTGCTTCCTCTTTCTGGATACAAGGTTCTAGTGTTCTAGTGTGATAAACTTTATTACTGCCATTCCTTTGCAAGAGAAAGAAGTGGAAACATACAAGTGCTAGCCCCACAGCGCCACAGGTGGAGAGCTAAAACCGCAGCAGTTTTATGCTGTGACACTGTATCCTTTGGGCTGCTTTGTGAGGATCTGCCATGGGGAGCCGTGAGCAGGGTGTGTGATACAATCAGGGTTTATCAAGCACTACAAGGACCTGGTACATCATCGCTAGTTCTTTCATAGCCTTAGATTATGGTTTCCTGAGACTCTCTGAGAATAGATTGGACCGAGGTGCTGAGCTTTTGCAGATGACCAGCTCTTAAACAGGGTACTGCAGAAAATTCTTGGAAGATAATTTAAAAGACAAGTTTATTTTGATGTAAAAGCAATTGAAATCCATGAATTGTTCTTTTGTAAGAGGCATTTGCCCGGAGCTATTAGAACACTTCGTGTATGGGTGATTCTGATGTATCCTTCAGTGTAGATGAACCTTGAAAACAACTGAAATAAGCAAAATGCAAAGGACAAACTACTTCCCTGTACTCACAGCATTTAGAATAGGCAAATGCATAGAAACAGGATGTATGGCTCAGGTCACCGGGAACATGGGAGGGTGGGGTGGATGTAGAGACATTGCTTCATGGTGCAGAGACGCTCTGGGAGGTGAGAGAAAGAGAAGCTTGGGTGTGTGGCAAGGAATACATTGAAACTGTAGCATCTCCTCAATTTTATTGTGAATCTAAAACTTCTCCAAGAAAGCATTCTGGAAATAGGGGTGATGGTTATACAGTATTTAAATATACTTACTGTACTGGATTATATACTTAAAATGGTTAAAATGCTGAAATTTACCACAAATAAAACATCATAAAATGAGAAATACCAGTGACTCTTTAAAGTTCTGCGTTTCATTCTGTGATTTAAATTAAACATTGCTCTATCCCTGTTTTGTTATTTGGGCTTTTATTTCCCTATAGGGTCCAGATTAGTAAATTCTCTCTCTCTCCCACTTCAAAGTATATGACGCTTGCCACTTCTGTCCACCTCCCCAAGAGCAGCCAGTTAGGTGCCCATCGTTTCCAGCCTGAGCTAGTGCAATAGCCGCCTACCATTCCCTGCAGCTCCATGCTGCACTCCACGCTGGAGTCTTCTCTGTATGGCGCCTCACCCCTCCGCACAAAGCCCTGCCACCACCTATTCATGTAACACACCGGAAGCCTCTGCTGAATGCTAGGAACATCAACAGTGACAAAATGCAGAATCTAGAGGCTTTATTTTAGTGAATTTGGGATGTAATGAAATTCCCAAGTGGCAAACAAGCATGGCCTGGTCCCAGCCTACTGCTCTGACTTCAGTGATAGCTCATGGTTCTACGGGGAGTGGTTACACAAGCAAAATTATAATTCTGTAGGAAAGGAAGAGGAGAATGATCGTGAATTTTTTTAAATGTTTATGCCATATAGAGGAATAGTTAACCAACGTCCCCTCCCCAGTGAGACAACCTAGGAGTCGATGTGGTTGCTGTGTTTAGACCAGAGTGCCTGATTGATGCAGTCTTCCTCCTTGGGTGTGGTTCCTTAAGGTCTGGGAAACTATGGCTAACTTATTTGTATCTGACATACGTAAGTGATTCTAGAATGGGGGTGATGAAAATATCACATCGTTATTGGGGATCTATAGCATAAACTGTGTTCAGCTTGAAGGGAATGTGGAGGTAAGTTCTTAGCAGAACTCTGGGCAGACAGTTCCTCGGGTGGCTGTCTGGGAGCCCCCAAAGTTGCTAAATTTGGCCCCGCAAGTCTAATCTCACACCGGGGTGGGCTTGTGATCCATGTGCAAAATAATAGGCAGCACATGGTTTTATCATTCCCTCTCCGGCCAGGAGGCCTCACTGCCTTCTGCCCTACCTCTCCCAGTCAGCTGATTCTGCATTGTAGAGTCTTTACTTGTGTCCCAAATGGACTTGTTGGCAACAAAGAGCGTGTGATGCAGGCGCTGCAGGGTATAACTGTGTCACACACTCATTTCTGAAGTAGTCTTTGTGACAAGAGAGATGCAAAACTTTGAGAGGTTAACCTTAGTACCCCCAAAGCTGTGGGTACAGCTGCTTTTTTTTTTTTTTAAGATTTTTATTTCTTTTTATTGGAAAGGCAGATTTACAGAGAGGAGAAACAGAGAGGAAGATCTTCCATCCGATGATTCACTTCCTAAGTGGCCGCTGAACTGGTCCAAAGCCAGGAGCCAGGAGCCTCTTCCAGGTCTCCCACGTGAGTGCAGGGTCCCAGAGCTTTGG